CCGTCTGTTGAGTGAGAGGAGGTGGGGACACTAGGTTATCCAGAGAGAGAGGGCCATAGATGGATCATGGGTAAACCCATAAATAAGGGCAACAAAGGCATTGCTCATGGAGACACAGATAAAATTCCAATGTAGTTTAAGTGATATTAGAGACGAGTTGTAAATGTAGACGTTATGAATTCGAATTTTAATTATCTCTTAGGACCAAATAATATNGAGAGAGAGGGCCATAGATGGATCATGGGTAAACCCATAAATAAGGGCAACAAAGGCATTGCTCATGGAGACACAGATAAAATTCCAACGTAGTTTAAGTGATAATAGAGACGAGTTGTAAATGTAGACGTTATGAATTCGAATTTTAATTATCTCTTAGGACCAGATAATGAGAGATTTATCTCTAATGAACATTCTAATCTCGACATGCTAAATGTGAATGACTTGTTTTTGACTGAACCAGAGAAAAAATTAATCAAAATATGAATAAATTGGCTCGAAGAACCCTGATTAATGCTTTTCACCATCTTTTCTATGTGCCGGATATGATTTGTTCTATATGGGAATAAAAGGTATCTGCTTTCAACTTTACTATCAATCTTGTTTAAGCTATAACACTGTCTTCATTTCTGTTTAGTACCAATCCTTTTGTTTCTCTTTCGGACTTGGATGCTCTATGATACACTCAATAATAGATCCCTTGCTGTAAATTCACTGAAATTCATAAAGTAATAGGGAGTAATTCATNATCTGCTTTCAACTTTACTATCAATCTTGTTTAAGCTATAACACTGTCTTCATTTCTGTTTAGTACCAATCCTTTTGTTTCTCTTTCGGACTTGGATGCTCTATGATACACTCAATAATAGATCACTTGCTGTAAATTCACTGAAATTCATAAAGTAATAGTGAGTAATTAAACATTAAGAGAAATCACGTAAAAAATATATTAGATAGAAGTTCAACAAGAATGGTTTTTGTTAAAAATAATATTACTTAGACTAAATTTATTGACCTTTTTTTTTTAAATAACGCATGCGTCAATAAGAGAGAATTTTTTTTTTTTGGGAGGGGAGGGGAAAAAGGGGTTTGAGCTCTTGACCTCAATAAGACAAAATCTTCACAAGGTAAAAAATATCATTAGACCAAATACTCATTAAGTTATTGACTTAATCGCTTATAATTATTATATTGATAATGGGTCACAATATTTATTAGAATCGGCAACCAATCCAATAATTATGATAAATTAGATCAAGTGGCATTATTGTTTTGCCAAATCTAGCCGTGGTTTAATTTGGTCCCTCTTTGGGCCATCCAGTATTCAAGTATGAGTAATGTTATTTAGATCTAAAAATTTGATCTTATTTGCTGAGTTAATGATATTAGTTCATTAGAACTATTGAATCAACACCAAGTTTNGGGGAAAAAGGGGTTTGAGCTCTTGACCTCAATAAGACAAAATCTTCACAAGGTAAAGAATATCATTAGACCAAATACCCATTAAGTTATTGACTTAATCGCTTATAATTATTATATTGATAATGGGTCACAAAATTTATTAGAATCGGCAACCAATCCAATAATTATGATAAATTAGATCAAGTAGCATTATTGTTTTGCCAAATCTAGCTGTGGTTTAATTTGGTCCCTCTTTGGGCCATCCAGTATTCAAGTACGAGTAATGTTATTTAGATCTAAAAATTTGATCTTATTTGCTGAGTTAATGATATTAGTTCATTAGAACTATTAAATCAACACCAAGTTCCAATATTTGATGGGTCTCACAATTAATTCAGAGGCTATAGTGATTTAAGTCAGTATATAACGTCAAATTTTTAGGTCTAAATATCATTACTCTTCAGGTATATGTGTGTATTCAGAACTCTAATATTCTTATAATATAAATATGAGTAATGCTATAAGGGCTTAATTTGGGGACCTAATTCAATACAACCATTGAATGAATTGTGAGTTTCAATGTTAGGTGGAATCCACCTCCAATCCAATAGTTGTATTGAATTAGGTCNTATAACGTCAAATTTTTAGGTCTAAATATCATTACTCTTCAGGTATATGTGTGTATTTAGAACTCTAATATTCTTATAATATAAATATGAGTAATGCTATAAGGGCTTAATTTGGGGACCTAATTCAATACAATCATTGAATGAATTGTGAGTTTCAATGTTAGGTAGAATCCACCTCCAATCCAATAGTTGTATTGAATTAGGTCCAAATAACATTTTTCTATAAATATAATGATAATAACTCTATACTTCAAGACAGTTTGCAATATCAAAAATTACCATTAATCGTGCAATAATGATATTTTAAATAGTAATTTATTTTTTCTTTAATTATGTAATTTAAAATTAAAGTGAACACAAATAAAATAAGAGCGTGTGTGAATTAATGGTGTTGGTTGACATTGAAAAATGTGTTAATTAAATTGTCTGAATTGAGAGCCGTGCAGAGAATGAGTTTTTGAGCTGGAAAAAAAAATTGGGATAAAATTAGATCGGTCTTAACCATTGTTATTCTTTTATAAATTAAAAATTCAACTTTTTAGCTGTAATATTAGATAGATTGTCAACTAGAAAGCTTGGATTTAAAAAAAAAAATGCAGTTGTGTTTTCTTTTTCAATGATTTCCATATCTAGATCACTTAAAAAAAAAATTCCTACCCTTTATAGGTATATTTTGAAAGAGATAAAATACTTGTATGTGGCTTTACAAAATCAAATTAAACATAAAAAAAAAAATTAGGCAAGTGAGTCTACATCTTGAGTTCTTGACACAAAGACCAAGAGATAAAGATTTCCAATTTTAATGTCATGTTATTTTTCATAGGATTAATCTGATATCGAAATTTCTAGTTAAGATTGTTGATGACTTCCGATAATCTATTTGTTTAAATAGAAAAACTTGATCTAAAAGTCTAGTTATTTTCGGGACGAGAAATGCTAGTTGGACAAAAAAATATTAATAACTTTTATCGATTCCTTCTATCACAATCATTGAATAAGTAGTAGGTTCCAATAAATTTTAAAATTTATAGTTAAATTAATGACAATGATGTTAAAGATCGTCAAATGTTATTAATATTTTTTATTCAAATAACATTGATCGGGATTTCGAGACTTCTAGTCTCTGCTCTGAATGTCTGTATAAAATTGTTGATATTTTTTTGTCTTAAGTTAAAGACATTCTTACCCTTTCAGAATGTAAAAGCCAAAACTGACTTTACAACTATCCTTGCTTACTGTTCAGGAGATCCAACCCCGTCACCGACCATTGAAAACACTACCAATGTCTCGGAAAATAGAATTTGATGTAATTATGATTGATGGGTTTAGATTTAAAGTCACTCATTATGAAATTACTCCAATTATACAAGTAGGGTTTCATCATAATAAGCATGATGATTGGTTACTGTCTAATGAACTACTGGGTATTGATAATCGTGTGTTACAATATAAATGTCTTTTTTTTTTTACATTCGAAAATCATTTTAACCACGTTTTTTTTTTTAAACTTTGAACTACAATATAAGAGAATATCTAATTTTACTCAAATTTAAATTTAAGTCAAAATGTCCCAAAAAATTCTCCAACCTTAAACTCAAACTTATACCAAATCAAGACAAAACTTATTTTTGACTTAAATTGAAGTAGATTTTAAATTTTATACTAAATTTATAACGGTAACTTTTGAATTTATCCAAAACTAAAAAACTTCTTTAATGACATGCTCTCTGCCTCTTCTTGCCTCTCTCTATTATTTTGTTTCTATTGTCGCCCACCGCAGAAACTTTCACAAATCATTTGAAGACCTGTAGATAAGTTTTTTCCTTTTTATCTTTTATCTTCTTGATTTCTTATATTTTTCAAAACCTTAATCTGACTCATCTTTAGTACTATATAAACTCTAAACTTAATCACCAAATTTTTCTTTGATTTCTTCGAGTTGAATATTAACGGTAACATAATTTCAAACTTTCGATTTTTCTTGAAATTTTAAGCCTTTGATTCTCACAAATTTAAACAATTTGTCATTTTATTTCTTCAATCTTTTATTTTTTTCAAAAACGTATGTTTTTGTGTTCTTCAGATCAGACTCGTGTCAAAGTAGTTATATTTTTTTTTTTTTTCTCTTTCTTTATCTAGATTTACAAAAATTATAAGAGATTAGAACAAACTTAGAATTCTGTAGTAACTTCTTTATTCCCATGTAGCTTTATATACGTATTCATTTTTTTTTGAATTATCCATTTTGGAGAGATGAAAGTTTAATTAATTTTATCAATTATCATGATTTGAATGACCAAAAAAAAAAAAGTTTTGGGACAATAAATGATTTTTTTAACAAAAATTGAATAGATATTTGAGTTTGCTCATTAGAGTATTCTATACTAAATCAAGTTTTTTACTCAAATTTAAACTTATATTTGAGTCTAAATTTGAATCATTATTAAAAATACTTTATGTTTTGAATATACACAATCACTTGTAAATCACGCGCATGACACAAATAACATAAGATTTATTAGTAGACTAAAACTTGAGACATCGAATGGTAATCATTGAGGCATTCCCATTCGAGTTACCTTCGCAAGTTAGAAAAACTAACAAATTAAAATGTAATACTTTGGATAAATTTAGGATTTTGTGAAGGGGCACCTACCATTGGCTTCAGTTCAATGGAGGGTATTGGTTAGAAAAGTAAGTGTGAGTTGTTAAGAGACAAATGCACACGTTAAAAGCTTACACTAAAATTCCTTTTCTTCCCCCAAAGAAAAACAGGGAAAAGGAAAGAGTAAAAAGCAATCAAAGTCTCAACTTATTTACTTTTCTTTCTCATCTTTTTCTCCCTTACTCATCCTACCCCCACGTCCACAAAAAGAAACATCTCTCTCTCTCTCACTATTGCTCCTCAAGTGTCATTTTCTCACATATACTTAACACAAAGGATACAACCATTCACTTCATACCCTGTCATATCTCCCTCACTCTCTCTCCTCTCAATCTCAAATCTCTGCAACTACTCCCTTAATTGATCATCAAATTCAAACCCCATCTGAAGGAACACCCAGAAATCTCTAACCCCAATTCAAAACTTCGATCATCAAAATTCCATAAAAAGCCTCTATCTTCCTTGATAACCCTACTACCACTGTACAAACAACAACAAGAAGAGCCATAACAAGAGCAAGAACTAGGAAGAAGAGGTAGAAGAAGAGGAGAGAGAAGAGTATAGTAAGGAGATGGAACTTTTTCCAGCACAACCAGACTTATCCCTACAAATCAGCCCTCCAAATAGCAAACCCACATCAAGTTGGAGGAGGACAGAAGATGAGATGGATTTGGGTTTCTGGAAGAGAGCTTTGGACTCCAGAAACTCCTCCTTCTCTTCAATGGCGACCAAACCAGACAACTTTTTCGAGCTCTCCTTGGCGAATCCAAGGGTTTCTGAGCCCTACTCCAACCATTTTCAGTTCCACCAGAACAGTAACACCAATCTCATCCACTCCTTTCAACAAAATCAGTACCCAAATCATCACCATCTACAACTGCAACACCAAATATTTCAGCAACAACACCATGGAATGAGCCCAGAGCTTGGTTTTCTGAGACCCATTAGTGGAATTCCAGTATATCAAAACCCTCCTTTCCCATTTTCTCAACAGGGTCTAGATACTTCTGTATCTTCTACAACTACTTCTAGTGCCATTACTTCAAGTTCCTTTCAGTCTCAAGGGCTAATGCGATCGAAGTTTTTGTCGAGATTTCCAGCCAAACGTAGCATGAGAGCGCCTCGGATGCGGTGGACTACTACCCTTCATTCTCGTTTTGTTCATGCTGTTGAGCTTTTGGGTGGCCATGAAAGTAGGCTTCATTTTCCTATCCGTTTTGTATATCCCCCTCCCCCTTTTCATATATCTGTATGAGCCTGTTTGATTGTGTGTGTGTGAGAGAGAAGATGGAGAGGGAGAGAGAGAGTGCGTGTATGTGTTCTTGTATATCATTACTCTATCTGTGTCATCTTCCTCAGGAAAATATATAAAAGATAAGAATTGATAAAAAACCACTTATCCAATTCTTGGTTTTTCATGTTTGTTTGTAGGAGCTACACCAAAGTCAGTTCTTGAGCTCATGGATGTGAAAGATCTCACCTTGGCACATGTTAAATCCCATTTACAGGTAAATGAAGCACTCATCCCTTTGCATTATCCTCGTCTAAAGCTACTTTTTAAGGTTTTTTTTTACTTCTTCTTAAATCAAAGTAACCTTAAAAAACTTTTGTTCTGTATTTTGTTATATGACTAGTACAACAATACATGAGCTTTTGAAGCAGTTTGAATGGTATTTTTTTTGCAAGGCTGAATTTGCAATAGTACAGCCTACATTGCAGGAAGGTGTTAATACATACGTTCCAAATTCCAATGTTTCCCTGCATAGAGGTCTCTCAAATCTTTAACACTTGGTGTGAGCAGCAATATTGCACTTCTTTTTCTACTAGATCTGATGGCCCTGCAAGCTCTTAATCAGCTTTATGCTTGGAAGAATGAACCACCCAAGTAAAGAAAAAGGTCAATAACAGGAGAGAGAGAGAGGTTCATCAATATAATCAGAGAAAAGAGTAAGACAAAGCCCAAGGAAAAGCCAAGCCGAGACAAGTTTAAACACAATCCACCTATTTTTTCAATGACAACAAAATTTCTTCTCTTACAGTGGGCAACTGGAAGATAAAAAAGTACAAAACACTATCATTTCGCAATGATATCAGTTTTATCTTGGGTTTTTTGAACCACACTCCCGTAACCATGGTTAATTGCATACTGTCGTGCATGCATATACATACATACTACATACATGTATTTGGGTAAACATTCAGAAACGTTTTTTGTATCATTTACAACTGGTACTTGCACTATTATCAGACCTACCATGTCTATACTGCATAGAAAGGCTATCCTAGCAGCTTTTTCTTTGTTTTTCCTCTCTCATGACTATATACATATACTGATATCTATAAATACACACACACACACATATATATGTAGTGCATTTTCTTCTTTATCTGTGGGATTATTATAGTGTAATGCACCACAGTAATCACATAAATTCTTTTATGTGCAGATGTATCGAACGGTGAAGACCACTGATAGGGCAGCAGCTTCTTCGGGTTGATCTCTAAAATCTTTATAGGCTTATTTGTGACTATTATTGAAGGGAACTGAAATGATTTTTGTATATTTTATACATATTATAAGTATTATTATTATGATTAATTAATATAGGTTCTTGTTTTTTGTCGTTTAGGACAATCGGATGTATTTGAAAACGGGTCATCTGGGGATACATCTGATGATTTAATTTTGGATATTCAAAATTCAAGAAGGTCTGAGGTTACAGTTCAACAGGGAAGGCAAAATGTGAATCAAGATAAGGATTATCATGGCCTCTGGAGCAACTCTTCAAGGTGAAGCTAAAAATTATTCGTATTATTGTGTTTCTTTTTATCATGGTTTGTGACATTTTTATCATCAGTTCTTCATTATAAATGACTTCATGCTCGATTTGATTGTCTGGTGGTTGAAACATCAAAAGTAGATAAATTTTGGAGCCTCAAAACCACCATACCATGCCTTAAGGCTATATGAGATGAATTTCATCGGAAAAAATAAAGCCTACATCTAGTATAATTTTTTTTTTTTGTTGTGGGGTGGGGGGTGTGGTCATCAGGCTACTTTGTGACCACATGTAGTTGGGCCACTTACATCTTTGTTTGTCTGTGTTGAGGATATGAAAGATGAGCTTAATAGCTATGTGGTAATTCTAAGCCCCAAGTGTCTGACCTCAAGTTCCTAGCAACACAAGTTTGAAAACATTACGAATCAAGAAAAAAAAGAAAAGAAAAGAAAATAGAAGTCATGAATTTGAATTTAGGTTTTTTTTTTCTTGGTTATTAGGTTTTTCTTTTTGTTGGACACAGTTTTCTTTTAGTATGTATAGGAACATCCGTCTCTTTCTTCCCAAACACACACTCTCTCTCTCCCCATATGTGCACTGGATCAGATAGAGAAGAGGAAATGAAATCATTGCTTTATTTTTTTTTGCAAACAGCCAGTTTTAACAATGGAATTACATGATGGGGCAATAATCTCACTCCCCAGTGGTTGAAAAGGAAGTAGTAAAGGCAATATATCCTCCTACCACTTCATGACTAAGAATCATATTGACAAAATCAACCTAAAAACAGACATATATTTCTTTCCTTCGGATTTTGTGGGCTCAGATAGCGCTATTTAAATGGGACCCACAACTAAGAAACTTAGTGTGAAAGCTATGCCCTGTGATGGACCCCTATGTAGAAATCTTGGTGCAAAAGATATGCCCTTTGAAACTTCCTAGTAGTAGCTAGCCTGGTTTGGTGATTTGGTAATGGGCTATCACATGGCTGGTTCAACTTTATTGCAATCAGAATAATATGCAAAGTGAGGAACAAAAATCAAGACAGTAAAAGATAGCTTTCTTTTCTTCATTTGCATTGTTCTTCTGGATGGCTTCCATTGATAGGAAATATTCTCAAAATGCATTGTTTTGCAGCAGGGAAGCCTGGTTGCATGGCAAACCAAGGGATTGTGGAGGGAACATAACAACTCTTCAGGTACCCTTCTCACATTTAAATTAATAGACTATACTTAACTTTGAAAGCTTAATAATTGGTATGTATGTAAATGCCTACATTCATGGGGATATATAGATGTAGTCTTCTATCATCATAGTGTTTATGCAAAGTAGGAAAGGGTAGATGACAGACAAAAACTAAAAGCAAAGGAAATAACTCACTCATGAAAAAAATCTTAAATTTATATTGTTCTAGTCAAAGGCTGTCCTACATTTGAATTGCAGTATGATAAAGGAACAAAATGCACAATACTAGGGTTGTGTATCAAGGATACATTCGTCTTTCCGACTATAAATAGGAATTTAGCCTCCAACAAGTTTGGATCATAAACTGATCGCCAAACTCTCCTAGTTAATAAGTCGACATAAACTCAATGAATAACAACATAAGCCCGACATAATATAAGTCAGTATATTTGACTATACATGACTGGGTATGACGCATTCACAGCCTATAATTAACTAGTACCCAACCTTCTAAATCCACAATCAAATGCATTAGGGTGTCACCATAGATGGTGTTATGTTTTATGTCATGGTATATATGCACCACTTGATGCATGTTCATTTTTTTTTTTTTTTGGGCATAATATGGTGGATGATGAAATATTGTCTAGGGAATAATAATGAGAGAGAATAATGTACCATGTATATGGTGGACGCGCATGAAACATGCACTGTAACAGCCTAACAGGCTTTTTAATGTACCATATACGTTACACCTTGACAAATATTCCCTTATATCCTGAGTTAAATGTCCTTTGATTCTCACACTCACACACTTCTCTTATGTTACTGACTCTTTGCGTGTGTGTGATTTTCAGAAGGACAGGGACGCAAAGGTCCTAAGCTATGAGAGAATATCAGAGGTGAGCTCATCAAGCCTATCAGAAACAAGCCCCAAGAAGCCCAATCTGGAGTTCACTTTAGGAAGGCCACAGTAATACCACTCTTTACTGGCACTAGTTATTTTGAAAATCATAATATCTCTGATTTGGGAGCTGGTGAAGAGAATCAGGTACCCACTGTGAAAATCAGAGAGAAAAGAAAGGAAAAGAAAAAGAAAAGAAAAGAAAAGAAAAGGTGAGCTAAAGAAAGACAAGGAGACAAGAAAGACAGAAAGCAACAAAAGGAGAGAAGGGTGGAAAAAGCATGCATGTCCTTCACATCAAGCTGTGAGATCCAAATCAACATATTATATTCCTACGTAAATATGAAATCTAATTGATTATGTGTGTTCTATCGTTTAGAGAGAGAGAGACAGAGAGAGGCCTTCAACTTATGTTAAAGTATGAAGTGATTCCTGGTAATTGTAAGATGAAGCACTTTACATTTAACAAAAGAAGTATATTTTTACCAAAGGAGTTTGGAGCCCTTTATTCATTCCTTGGCATTTTCACATGCTTTACACTTTCCCAACAAAGGAAACGAAAGAGAAGATAACATGAACTGGGAAAGGAAATGAAAAATTAAGGGCATAAAGAAAATGGAACAGAGCAAAAAGAAAAAGACAAGTTAAAGGAACATTTTTATGGCCTTTTTCAAACAAATTCTCTGCACAATTGTTCATTTTTCTTTTCCTTTTTTTTTTTGGTATCTGCATTAAGGTTTATGTAGTGAATTTGTGTCAACAACCGTCTATCTGCATCTGTCGGTAAAGTGGGTATATGTTACGATTTTCTAAAACTTGACCACAACAAAAATCTCGTACATTGAACTGCCATTTAAATGTTTATGAAGTAATGAAGCAAACAATTTGAAAAATACATACGCGGGACAGTGATTCCATGGTGCTACCGGGTTGCCATAGTGATGAATGCAACTTATGAACCACTAAGGTTGATCTAGCAGTGCACCGAAGATTAATTCAAGTTTCAAAAGCAGTCTCTTCAAGAATATATTTATTCTAAAATTTTTCATAAACTTTCACAAGGCCCGGAAAGTTTGCAGTAAGGGTGCTTTTCAGGCAATCTTTGCTTCTGGAGGATCTCGAAATGACAAAGTTAAGAACCCCACAGCACCCCATTGATAAGCAAAACTCTAACAGAACATTGATTAGAAAGAATTTAATGAAAATTTTGGAGCATGTTGAAGATAAGAGCATGATGGTTCCCACCAATGTCTTGTTCATTAATCTGATGTTTCTTTGTGTGTGTACAAAACAATAATGTTTTTGGCACAATTGAGGCCAGAGAATGCTAACTGTCCAAAGAAGAAATTTGATGTATCATATCTAGGATTCAATAATGCGCCCGGGCATCCATTGTCACTTTCTTGTTAGAATTTGGCCTCGTTTGCAAGTTGGACTCAATCCGAACCAAAAGCTAAAGCTCAAGCTCAGAATAATGTGTTCTATATATTTTTATTTGCGCAGTTGATGTGGGATGACTTTTGTGACCTAGAGGTCACTGGTTCGAGTCGCGGAAACAACACCTCTATTTGTAGCAATATAATTGCGTATATTTAATCCTCTATAAACCCGCAATGATGGAAACTCGTACATTGTGTATGCCCTTACGTGGGATGGCTTTTGTGGCTCTCTGGTAACCAACACTTCTATAATGTGGAATTGCACTAGAAAGTTTGTCATCAGCCATTTTCAATTGAACAAACTAAAAGGGTTTGCCGACCATACCCAGTCACTATAGTTGGAGAATGCACAAAGCTCAAGTATCCTTGTGATCAGTCACTACAAATTTTCCAGCTACCTTTAATATTAGGAAGTTCACAAGACTAACAACTCCATTGAGCCAGCAATCAGGTTGGGTTTCGGGTTCACGTTACACAACTCGAGTTAGTGAATTCAAGTTCTACCTGCGGTGAATCCAAATTCTAACCCGAGTGATGTAAGTTGATAATCAAATTCAACTTAACTCATGCTTATCTTAACTGAACTTGAATTTCAGTCCAAAATGTGTAACATGAGAATTAAATCCTCCAATTTCAACCCAAGTTGTGTACCTTACGTTCAAAAATAAAAACATGGGCGACATTTTGATTATAGGGTTAGATTAAAACTAAATTGAATTAAACTTGTATCGAATATTTTATAATTAGGTTGAATTCATATTGGCATTATACAGCCAGCCAACCCATCCGAGTTACGCCTCTCAATGGTGTCAAGAGGGGTCAAAAAAAATATTATTTAGATATAATTTATTAATTTAATTTATTGACCAAATTATTTATAACCAATGCATTGATAGTAAATTTCAGTATTTATTGAAATTTACAATCAATCTAATGACTATAATGGATTAAGTCCATAAATTATGTCAACAAATTATATCTAAATAATATTATTTAAAAAAATAAAAAGCGACCTAAGTGCTGCTACTTCCAATATTTGTTTTTGTTTTTTGGGTTAGTATTATGAGCCAGCTCATAAACCAGCTAGAGCCAGCTCATAAACCAGCTAGAGCCAAGTCAAAACTCCTTAAGGATTTCCCTTTCTCTCTCTAGAAATTTTATATCACTCAAATCAAAAAGTGGAGGAGGGTGGAGTAATGATGATAGCCATAATTGCTACAAAAGCTAGCTACCATGCAGTCTTCATGAAACGTGGCATAAGATTTGGTCATCGTCAGCCATCACTAAAAAGGTTGCTGAGTCCACATCCATCCATCATCAAACCACTTCATAAACACATAGGGGATGTTTGGGCCGCCATGGATGGTTTGGGATGGATTAAATTTGAATCCGAATTTAAGCTAAATCAATGCAAAGTAGTCTGATTTGAATCATTCCTAAAAGATACTAAAATGACTATTACACCATTTTTCAAATAAATGTAATCTAATCTTATATTAAGTTTGGACTAGAATGATGTGAAGTTAATCTAATAATATTGTCCAACATAAAACGTCATAAATTGTCCAACATATATAAGAATACCTTACTCATTATATTTTTTTATTTTTTTTTATTATAAGACCTGATCAATATTTCATTAGTTTAACCGTTGCGTGAACTAATCAAATCGATCATATAATAAAAAAAATTATAAATATTTTAAAATATAATATAAATTACATCTATAGTCCTTATGGTTTGTCACTCATTATATTTTTATCCATGAGAGATATTTTTGGTATTATATAATAATTCATGAAACCAAATATATGGTGTTCTTTACTTTGTGAAAGTTTTGTCTTCTTGAGGTTAAGGATTCAAGCCCCTTTCTCCCTTCCCCTCTCCCTCCAAAAAAAAAAGTTATACAGATGTGCACTTAAGAAAAAAAATATATAATTCCNCCCCTTTCTCCCCTCCCCTCTCCCTCCAAAAAAAAAAGTTATACGGATGTGCACTTAAGGAAAAAAAAAATATAATTCCAGTTAAAAAAACCCAATTATAAGTCCAATTAGAAAAAAAAAAAAACCAAACATAAGGAAAAATAGTTCTTGTCTTTTTTTTTCCTCTATTCATTCTCTCTTTATTCAACCCGTCAGACCCAACAAATCTCTCTCTTTCTAACCAACACACATCCATGATCCATCCCTTTCTCAAACCATTGCACACACAGAGCATAGTTGATGCAAGACTTGATTAACCCTAACTAACACAGTTGATGCAAGGCTTGATTTTTCGGGACCTTTATGGGCAATAAAATTCGAGTTCTTCCTCTCTCACTCTTTCATGCATAGCTGAAGAAGTTCCAATAAAACTGCATGGACGATCAACCACAACTAATGAAAGCTCCAATCAAGTTCTTAATGATGGATTAGCTTTAAATTGGGTATTGAGTTCTATCTTCTAAATCTTTGTTTTTCTCTCTCCCTCTCTCTTTCTCCCTCTCTCTAATTCTCGACATGCCCCAAACATCTCTCAACTGATATATATATTTGAGGTATATATATATATATAGACAGAGACAGAGGAAGAGAGAGAGAACATTACCTTGCTAATGGGAAGGATTTGGCGCCATTGGAAGCTAGGGACCAGTGAAAAAGGGGGAAGAGAGGATAAAAACCCTAGAGTGGTGTGCTATACAGGGGTGTAATGGTAATTCCATTGTGTATCCGGTAGCAGATTTTTAATCCCAAAGTTTTGGTCGGATTTGATTATCCACTTGAGAGGGGATAAACAAGCCAAATCACTGAGGGCCGATTTTTTCATGGGCTACAAAAGTCCAGCCCTAAAATGACTTGTCGTACTAAGGATAAATGAGACCCACCGATTATTTATCCAATCCAACATTTTTTATCCACGCTTATCCATCAACCCAAACATCCCCATAAATACCGAGGCTAACAACAAGTAATCGAAAATTAGGAATTTATTCCACTTTCAAATAACTTGGGGGCAAACCCTTTTTCTTTTCTTTTTTGTAAATGTTCAACTTAACGTGCACCCTAATTTTTTTAGCAATGTTATAAAATTTTAATTTGATAATATAAAACACCATTATTATGGAATTAGTACTTAATTTTTTAGTGTTGAATAGAATATACAACCAATTAAATTACATAAATGTATTATATCATCAAATTAAATCTTCAAAATAGTAAAATTAGTAGTTTTCTCTAAATTTCAGCTCTCTAGCTCTTTGTTTGGTATAAGGAAAAATTAGACAGATGAAAAAAAAATAGAGGGAAAAGATAGATTTTTTTTAATTTGGTTGGGAAGTGAAACGGAGAGAAATGAAAAATGGGACGTAAAGAGGATCCCTTTTGCCAACCATTTTATTAATTGGCCCAAATATGGATAGAAAATGGGAAAAAAAATTAGTCAATAGATGGATTTATCACAATTCCCTTGAAGTGACGGTTTGTAATTTGAACAGAAAGTGGCGGTTGCTTCTCAAATTAAAAAAAAAAGTACAAGTGGGGTCCGCACTTTTTATTTTCTCAAGACAAATCAGAATAGTGGTGGGACCTTAGGCTATTTTTAACTCTATATTTTATACAATTACAAGGGTATTCATGTAATTTAATAAATTTAATAAATCCAATTACCCTTTATCATCGAAGTCCCTAAACTATTCCTTATTTCCAAAAAATAATTTTGACTGGAGAGCCAATTTTTTCCTTTGTTTTTTTTCGAATCAGTGGGATAAGACTGCAATCCTCAAAATTCAATATTCGTCATGACT